TGAGAGCAGAATTCCAGAATTTGAGGGGCTGCCCCAAGGAAGAGGAGGGGGTCACGTTACTCTCCAAAGCACCAGAGGGAAGGATGAGAAACAATGGTTGGAAACTGATCAAAGAGAGAAGCAACCTGGAATTAAGGAGGAAATTCCTAACAGTGAGGACAATTAACCAATGGAACAACCTGCCTCCAGAAATCGTGGGTGCTCCATCATTGGAGACTTTTAAGAAGAGACTAGACCACTAGACGGTCACTTGTCTGAGATGGTACCATGGGTTCTCCTGCTTGAGCAGGGGGCTGGACTAGAAGACCTCCAAGGTCCCTTTCAGCTCCTATTCTATTCTATTCTATTCTATTCTATTCTATTCTATTCTATTCTATTCTATATTCTATATTCTATATTCTATATTCTATATTCTATATTCTATTCTATATTCTATTCTATTCTATATTCTATATTCTATTCTATTCTATTCTATTCTATTCTATTCTATTCTATTCTATTCTATTCTGTTCTATCCTATCCTATTCTTTGTGCCCCTGGACTGGAGGGGTGGACTAGATGCCCTTTTAGTTCCCACAGTGCCCAGGGGGAACCCAGGCTGGAGCTGCCGAACTTGAGGGGCTCCTCCCCCCCAATATGGAAGGAGGAACCCCCAGTAGCTGCATTGGATGACAAGAAGGGAGGAGCAGCCCCACAGGCAGCCAGGATTTGGGGGTCACACACAAACCCCCCAATCCAAAGGGAAGCTGCGGGAAACCCTCAGCTAAACCAGGAAGGACAGAGTCTTTAGGGATCCCTCCTGGTCCAGCTGGATCCTCTCACCATCCTCCCCTCTTCCCGGGGGGGGGATTTCCCCTTTCCCAAAGCCTCTCTTGGGGGTCCTACCCCCTTTCTGCTCCTTCCCCACAAACATCGGGGGTCCCTCCCAGCCTCCCCCCTGCTCTCCCCCCTCCTTACCGGGGGGTTCCTTGCGCCCCTCCCTCCCAGGGATCAGGCCAGCGCCCCCACCAGGAACAGCAGGGGGAGCCCAGCAAAGCCCATGGATGCTCCCAGCCCCAGAGGCGGAATCGGTGGGTCTGGATTATGGGGGGGGGGAGCATTTTTTCTCTCTCAAAGTCAGTCTTGGGAATGCCCAGAGATCCGGAAGAACCAATGGGAATTCTCCCTTCTGTGGCGTCATCGGTCTCCGGGCAGAGTCTCTCTCGACTTCACCCGATGGAAGAGGCTGTCTGCGCAGAGCGAGAAGCGGAGAAAGGGGGTGAGGAGAAGTGTTGGGGGGGGGGATTTTATGGGGAGAGAAATCAGCCCTGAAAGAAAGAAAAAGAAGAAAAATATCCATATCCATGGACAGGATGTATAAGAGGATCTGAGCAGATCTTCTAAAATATCTCATTATTATTTTAAGAAGGTTGGAAGGATGCACTGTATATTAAATAAAATAAATTTATAACACCTAATTATAACCTGGAATATTAATAGAAATTCTGTGGACTTCAGTAATCCTAGCACCGTAATGTATAGGATTACAGCCCTAACCATTAAAGTCTGAAAACCTTCCCCCCGCAAACTATCCAAAAAACCAGACATTCTGTTTCTTATGTTTCACTACATCAAGAGAAAACATTTTTTCTAGTCTTCTGTGGAGATTCGGGTTGTGGTCAGTTACGCAAAGGCGGGTCAGGCAGATCCTCCATTCCCGGTTCTGCTCAAAAGAGCTTTGGGGGTCCAGAGGGGGCCTGGATCCTTCCCAGGGATGGGGGGGCTGGAGGGGTCAAACTCCCCCCTGGCCCAGCACCAGCCCCGGCAGGCCAGAGCCGGGTCCCCCCCCCTGCAGCCGAAGGAGGCGGCAGAGTCCGAATCTCCCCCCCCCAGTTGTGTATCTGGACACAGCCAGTCGCA